CCAGCCACCCCTGCCCTGAGCCCCCCTTGCCTTGTGCCTGTCGTGACTGCCCTGTCTCTCTCTGCAACTTCTGCTGCTGTTGGGGGGAGGTTTGGGGAGGGGGGGGAGGTTGAAGGGGGGTGGCCGCCGTGAAGTCAGCAGCTCCAGTTGCCCGTGAGCCTACTGCTCCAGTTGCCTGTGAGCCCGTTGCTCCAGTCACTTGTGAGTCAGTTGCTCCAGCCGCTCGTCTAGCCGCAGAGCTAGTTACTCCAGTTGCCCGTGTGCCAGTTGCTCCAGTTGCCCGTGTGCCAGTTGCTCCAGTTGCCCGTGTGCCAGCAGCTTCAGCCGCCGCCCACCACCAACTCTCCTCTCGTGGTCCCTCCTCCTCCTCACTTGCTGTCTGCTTCTTCCGCTGCGCTCTGCCTTGGGTGTACCCCTATTGAGGGGTGTTGCTGCACATGGTCATCCACTGCATGAAGTTAGGGGGTGTGTTCGAATATAACTTTATGCAGTGTAGACTGTTGTGTATGTAATCTTGTACTATATGTGGTGTACCTCCTTTCTTGTCTATTTGTACTTGTCTCTCCATAGTGCAATCCCTCTTTGGCCAATTACTTATCTCTCTCGCTACTCTCAACACCCCAAACCCTAGACATGGCTTCTTAGCCTAAGCTAGGATTCTGACATGTAGGAGATTGGAAATCAAGCCCGGTCGGGATTCCGGAAGTAACCATGTCAGGGATGCCGACATCAGGATTTGAACCAGGGTTCTCCGCTCGCTTTCTTCCACGCTCACCGCACCATGCAGGGATAACTAAAGTTCGCTAACCAACTGGGATAAAAGGGCATGTTTGTATGGTGGGTCAGCGCACCTACACCCCGATGTGATGCCTTACAGTGTGCACTTCCAACAAGCAACAACGGTAACATGACAAGGTGTGGCGGAATGAGGGGCAGCTGGTGCAATGCAACCGCACTTCCATCACCATCACTCATCCACCTACTAACGTATGCTGCATACAAACGCATGCCCCCCAACCCCCGCTCCTCCATACATTTTTTTTTTAAAATTAATAATTGAGTTTTTTTCTTCAAAAGAGTGTTTGCATATTTGATACTATATTGATATTAAGATCTAAGAGTTAGCAAAAGTATCGACCAGTTAGGAAATGAGGTACAAGGAGGAATGTCGAGAGAATGTGAATGTATGTATCCTATACTATGCATCTCACTACATCCTAACATATATAATACATATACTAATAGAATTTGACATAAGATGACATAGATTTAATTCATTTAAATATATTAGTCGAAGCTTACGGGATTTCCATATTATAGACCATAAACGGGATGTCCAAACAATTTGGCATGGAAATACCGAAGATGAAGGACACCATGGAACAAGCAATGCAAAAGAATATGGGTTGCCATGCATATGAGTACTCAATAAGGTAAGGTATAAGAGTCCATACTCTGAATGTAGAAAATGAATCACCTCTCATCAAATGAACTGCCCACCCTTTCATCAAAACCAGCCAGGGTAACCTCGTTTCTAATGTGATTTGGGAGCAACGACACCCACCTGTCAAATGCCTTGACAGGCTGCAAATCGGTGGAGAAATTGCAGTGAAGGATTGTCTCATTCGGAGATGCGATGTGCTCAATTTCCATTGGCCCTAAGAAATGGCGTGTGTTTGAATCTGATCGGTCGATGAAAGGATGGGCGGTTATATGATCGGAGTGACCGAGATTTTAAGGATCATAATCTTGGTGTCATGACAAGGACTCTTCTGTTCATTGTGAGTTGGTGCGTGGCACTACAGTAAATGTTTCACATGTGATGGACCCTTGCAGCCAAATGAAACATGGAGAATTGAGTTGGCCCTACTATTGGGTTAAAGCCATTTCTTTAACCGTAGGGGCCTCGCTATCACGCCCTGCAAGTCCAGTCGAGTGCTATGTACATTTGTTTTCTGTCTTAGAAGATTGCATTGCATATTCTAGTGTGGTGCAAACTTTGCTTTCCTAAATGAAGCAAGCTGTTTGCTAAGTGTGAATCGCACGAAACTTGAGTCAAAATGAAGGGTTAGGACCTGGAGAAATGTGGGGATGTCTACCGGAATGTGCTGTAAGGTCCGTCGAGGAACGTTGGGACAATTTGCGGCATGTTACTTGTCGTAATTGTTGTCCTCATCAAAAGCTGATGTTCAGTTGCCGGACAATGACCCTTGCTGACTGTTTGTCTTACTCGAAGGTTTTGTAACTGTTCTGGTGTCGGCGAGTTTTGCAATGCCGATCTTTGCAGGCTGGTCTTGGCAGTTTCTGCCTCTCCGCGTTGCTGTTCATTTGGGAAACCTCGGTTGGAAAAGGTTCAGTTCAGGGCTGAAGTTTTCCGTTAACTAGTTTTTACCTTCTCACTCCAAGTCCTATACACCGCGGGTGGAAGGTGAGATCATCTAAGAAACGCTATACGATGTTAGCTAAGTTCGAAGAAATTCACAAGCAGCATAGGCTTTAGTATACTTTCGTTTGACAAGTAGTAATATTTGTAAGAATGTCGAATTGTTTTCCTTGCAGCCCACCACTCACGGGCCGTTGCGTGCTGCTGATGTACAGTTCTTTCGCTGACAAGGATAGGGTTTTACTCGCTCAGATCCTGTTGATCCCCCGAATCTCTCTGTTTTTCAGAATTCCGCGCGCGCTCTCCATTTCCGAAATCTCGTTCTCCTGCGAAGCTGCCCCTGTCCTGAGATTCCACCCCGAAGCTCCCCCAACCCCAGCGCACTTTTCCCTTCCCTCCGCCCCAATTCCTCCGCCGCACTGCATGTTTTGTTAGGGAAACGCGGAAAATGCTTCGTTTCAGCCACAAGGGGTGCGGCTCTCCCACCCCTTGCTTCATTGTTGGGCCACATTCATTATGCGCCACTGCCCAGTCAATTGTCGCGCTGGCAGTGCCCATTCCCTATCCACCTCAGGAGGGCTGGCATTTTCCTCCCAAAAAATCCTCTGGTGCCAGCCCAGAAAGGAGCTCACACACACACACACACACCTTTTCTTCCGCAATTGCTGCCAGTGCAGCAGCCCATCATCCCCGCCCGCCCAAACACCACCACATTCCCCGATCTCCGCCAAGGGTCCTCCCGCGGCAGTCCTCCTCCGCCATTGGCAGCAGACTCAAATTTTCTCCCTGCCCTCCATCCCTTTTCCAAGGTCCTCCGCTCCACCCCCACCTCCCCCCTCCCTCCCTCCCACCCCCCACTGTCCCACCCCGTTGATTCTTTCACCCTTTTGATCCGTTTCTGCTTTGCGTCCTATACATATGACCCGCGCCGACGCCATTCCCGACTATTCCCAAGTTTGTTTTCGCTCTTGTTCCCTTTCCAAGGCCCATCTCCAGCACGTCTTCCATTCCCCCTTTCTCATCTTCCATTCCGACAAGCTGATCCTCGCACCCTCCACTTCACGCTCGTTGCTGCGCAGCTGCTTTCGTCGTCCTCTTCCCGCTGCATTTTGTGTCACGCTTCTGCGGAACACCTATACCTGCGTAACGCCTCATTCTGGTCATGATCAGAGGACAAATCTAGTTCGCACGCGCATTTGATAGAGAAAAACCGCCACTTGATTGATCATCACCTCTTTTTTCACGGCGCTCTTCGCCGTGCCTATTTACCTTCGTGAATGACATTGACAACCTGACAAACACGCATCTTCGACCACAACCTATTATTTTGCGCAAACAAGTTCTTGTGAAAGAACGACAGTTGCCGTCCAAGTCTCGTCCAAGTCTAGTCTGAGCCCTTGTAGAGGATATTCCTCAGCTTCATTCAGCCGTTCTGCCTCCTCTTTCTTCTGCTTCTCTTCTCCGTTGCGGAACGTGGTACTCCGCTTCACGTCGTGTCTCGGCTTCACATCAAGTTTACTCAGCTGCGTCGTCGAGAGGTCGCGCGCATCATTTTGTGTTCGCCAAGCGAACCATTTCGGGTTATATTCGGTGAATAATATTTTCCGCCATGGCGTACCAAGATACGCAGAACCCGCCGAAGCTCACGCTTCAGTATCAATGGTCGTCGTCGCTTCACGCGCATGTGAGTTTTCGTCACGCGATTTTATAACCTTAACATTCCTCGCGCAAGCATTTTTTTTTTCAGCCTTCTCGGTTCTTCAGCTCCGGGAATCAACGGCGGAAGTCCTGACGGTTCCTTTTATCGCGTATTATACTTGTTCTTTTCGATTTTTTTTGCAGATGAAAGTTTCTCAAATGTCTCAACCTACAGACATGCCGCCATTTACGTCGTCGACGTCGTCTCCGTTTGGGTCTACAACTGCTAACGACGGTTCAGACATTCCGACGTCGCAATGCGACAACGCATTGGATGCGGGAATGATATTTCTTGGCGGTCATCGCACGCGCCCGAACTGGTCGCCGCAGGTAATTGAGTCCGATGGCTCTCGCGAAACGTCCAAGTAATATTTTTTTTTGGTGTCTGTGCTTGCTGAGTGAGTAGCTTCGTCCATGGAAATACCCTGACGGTACATGGCTGAGAGACAAGCTTCCTAGGCTTCGACAGAAGCCAATGTCTGGATGGGTTGATGATTGGTGCTCGAGTCCTACTCTTTGACCTGCTAGAGTTTATTTCATTTGCCCACGGGAATTCGTGCGTGCTTGTAACGAGTCTTATCCGACAAATCTTTCCTCCTCTTCGTCCTCGAGATTTTCCCGATGACAAATTTCCCAACCCTCGATAGTGTTTGCTTACCCTAGAGATTTGTTTTCGTCCTTGTTTCGGTTTTGCTGTTGGTTGGTTTTTTCTCACATCGAAATTGTCAATCTCGCAATTTCTGTGGTACAGGAGGACTTGATTCTGCTGCAGCATGTTGCTCGCCATGGCACGCGCAACTGGGGCTCACTCCAAGCAAGCGGTTTTCTGCCGCTCCGCGACCAGAAGGCCTGTTGCAACCGCTTCATTCTCCTCAAGAAGTACGACATCGATTTCTATATATTTTGTCAAGTCGAATGCATGAAGCGCGTTTCGCTCGATGGGTTGATCGACGCGCATTTCGCGCGTCGGGTGGTTTGATCTGACGGCCGTTCTCACAGTGTCTAAGATTGCGTCGTTGCTGACCGTTTTTCCCGCGGTTCGTTTGCAGGCGGTGCATCAAGGACAAGCGAAGCCTCTCGCATTTGCTGCATCGCGCCAAGGAGTCTGTCGTCGCACCCGAGACTAGCGTGCAGCAGAATCAAATCGCGTCGTCTAGCTCCTTGGCAACTCCTTCATTCTCGAGCCAACGGCAACTTCCGGTACGCCGCATAGGGTTGCGTTGCGCACGTATAAATTTTATTCGCAATGTCAATAATTGATTTCTTCCTTGCCGTCTTAATCTAACAGCTTTCCGTGTGTTTTCGTCAGGCATTGAGCGGCGGCGGCCTTGGCCTCAGCAGCAGCTCACGGCCCTCCTTCAAGAGCGGAAGTCCCACCAGCGCCTCCGCTATTGCTGCCGCTACCGCGGCCTTCAATTCTCCTTCCGCCACCGCGTCTCTGACCGCAGTGCGAAGTCCCGTTTCCCTGGTGCAGCAGCAGCAACAGATTCAGCAGCAGCAGCAGCAGCAGCAGAAGATCCAGCAGGCACTCGCTGGTTCCCCTTACTTACAGCAACCTGGTGTCAACACTTCTAATGCGGCTTTGGGAGATGGAAACTTTGGGGTTCCGCTTCTCCAGATGCCTGCGCTCAATCCGTCGACGTCTCTCAGCATGTCCGTGCAGCTCGCCAATCTCAAGTGAGTAACGCTCTCCGAACGCAACAGCACCGATCGCATCATCTGTTTCCTTGACGCGTTTCCTCCCGCTTTCCTGATACACCTGACCTAAACTCACATCTCTCTGTTCCTGACGGTTTGCTTCGCTTGCCTTCGCTGATCCCACTCTGCCCTCTCCACCAGATCGCGATTGGCTCTCCAGCGTGGCTCGCTCCTCGCCCAAGCTCTTCGCCTGACGCAGCAGCCAGACTTCGCGTCAGTCGCCGATCTTCCCCTCCTCGCGAACGTGCGGAAACTCGCCAAGTCATCGTCCTCGTCTTCTCTAACCGCAGCAGCATCCGCTCCAGCGGCGGTTGGCTCTCCTCCTCACTCCTCTGCTCCCTCCGGCTGCTCCTCTCCATCCGCCGCCGCCGCAGCCTTCTCTGCTGCAAGTGAGCCGTTCTGTATGCGTCGGTCTTCTCTTTCCTCGTCTGGCCGTTGCCTGTCTCCCAATGCGTCCTTCGTTGCTGCTGATGGCCAAGGCAACGGCCGCCTCGCTCCAGTTATGCGCATGCCTTCGTTCGATGTCAGTTCAGTCTGCAAAGCCCTACCTTCTGCTGCTGCTGCTGCTGCTGCTGCTGGTACAGCTGCTGGCACTGCTCCGGTTAGTGCTTCTGCTGATGATTCTGCTGAAGCTGTTCTTCCTGTCGATTCTGCTGCGAGTGGCCGCACTTTCACAGGCGGGGGTGGTGGATTGGAGGGAGGTGGTGGTAGAGGCGCCGATGATGCTTTCGCTTCTCTGCCCAGCTCCTCCTTCACTGCTCTTCTCACCTCCTCTGCTTCCGCCAATCATCGCCTGGCTTCCATGGCATCAGCCGCGCCGGCGCCTGTTATCTCCCACACGTGGAGGCCACAGGGCAACGCCAGGTGCCTTCAGAAAACGGTGCCTGTGGAGTCAGCGAGCGGGGCGAGCCGAGAGACGCAAATCCAGCAGCAGCAGGTTTACCAGTCCCAGCAGCAGGCTTTGAACTTCAAGCTGCAACAGCAGCAGCAGCAGGAGATGATGCCGCAGGTCCAGCAGGTGAAGGGACAGCAGCAAGTGATGTCTCAGCGTCCTGACATGATGCTGTTGGAGGCGTTTTCATCCGCTCGTTGTGCTAATAATGACAGGCATACACCACTTCAGAACCTGGATTGCAGTCAGAATGAGCCCCAGCAGACACTTGATGCTGGTTCCGGAGATCCATGGGGCGCACTGAACACAACCGAGGATGCTAGGTTGGCGAATATTATTTCCAGCGGGTCACTTGAGGCTGTGGTTGCCGGCAATGGGCGTATTTCCGAGTTTCCTTTGACTTCCTTCGATGATCAGAAGCCTTTGGGAGCTGCAGAGTTCCAAAGCGAGGAGGCGATGTTCTCGTCGCTCTCCCACAATGGCATGTTTGCTGAGATGCCAGCAAGCTTCTCCGAGTCAGATATGCTCCAGGCGATACATGCTGAGATGGAGGTGAGTTAGTGTGACCATTTCTTTTGAGATTGTTGTTCTTGTACCCTACATATCAACAGCTGCTCTTGTACTGCACTTGGCTGACCGTCGTCCCACTTTTATCCCTCCTGTTTGCAGATGCTCAGCTCAATCGTCAATGCATCTTAAAGGATCTTATAGACTCCTGTACTACGTTCGTACTACGTTTGTATTCACTGGATGGTTTTTCCCAAGAGCCTCGTGTCTTGTTTGGCCATGAATTTGCAATTCATGTGCCTTTTTCCCACCTACATGGTGG